AAGGATTCCCAAGCCTCTTTGACCTGGGAAACTTATTTTCTCAAATTACCCTTCATATCGCCCCAGAAAAGTCCAGCAAAACAGAGTCTGGGATGAATGGTGCTTCCTGATTAGTCTGTAGGAAACCTGTTCTAAGGCATTAGAGAGTCAGTAATCAGAGTTGGAGTGATCCTCACAACTGGTCTAATTCTATCCCTCTGCAAGATATGGCACATGGCCTTTGAACCTCTCCTTACACGTGTCCAAGATAGGGACCCATTACTTGGTGGCACTGCCCAGGCTTCTGTTGAAGAGGTTTGATTTTTAACAGAGTTCTCCCTTGTATCTCGTCCTTCCCTATGGTCTAGAGTCGGTTTATTGATGCATCAACAAGGCAGGGAGTAAAATAAATCATGTCTTTAAAAACAGCCATGATAAACATCTCTGCTCCTCACCTGTCCCTCCCATGGAATGCTTTCTAGGTTTTAAAAAGAGGAGCCCTGAATGGCATCTAGGGGCTCTGAGGTACAAGCGTTACAAAACCCACACATGCAGAAAGGACTCCTTGCGTGCTTATGGTCAGGCACACTTAGGATGAAGATCATGATCTCCAGAAGGTGACACTCTTCAGAAGTCCTCTTTTCCCGAAGAGTGGGAAGGGTAAATCCTCTTGAAGGGTTCCCTTTTCGCTGCAGCCCAGCACACCATCTTGCTTCCTGCTCATTTGAGGAGGCACAGAGGATGAAGATAGGATAGTTTATACGGTAGAGGAAGCTTGGTAGTGACCTCTTTGGTGCTCTTTCCCTCAGCGTCCACACCTCCAAAGATCAAGGCCATCACACGAGAGACCGTCAACGGAAGACTAATTCTTTCTCAAGTGAATGAGATCCAGAAGAATGCGTGAGACCAACAAGGGTTTCTGCCTATTGTAAAAATGGTTTTCCCCCAATAGAAAGTCCTTGACCTGATACTGATGAGTAAGTTCTAAAAGGTATCCTTGGAATTATCAAACTCAGAAATTTTTATTTTCTTCTCTTTAACCATCTCACCAGACTTCCCATAATGCTCTTCATATATTGCGCTTTTTAACCAAAGTATAAGTCCATAAGTTTAAAGCTCCACTTTGCTACTACAATCTTCAGATTCCCATCATTGCACATCTGTTTTGTAGCCAATAAAACTCCACCCCGGGCTGTATCATGTCTTTTCTTTATATCATTAGGCAAGACTGCACTGATGTCTCATCCTCACAAGGGCTTCTCAGGACATTGCCCAGGATAGATCCAGAGGGATCTTGATG